GGAGTGTGAGAATGTCTGTTTCTTTGTGGTGGTTAACTTACACAACCAATGAAAATATTTAAGTTCACCCTAAAGTTTAATGTCACCATATTTTTACTCTCAAAATAAGCATGAGTTTCTTTGTTTGACATAAAAAAAGGGGACCAGCAGAAAAAAACTAATTCAAACCACTTGGCTAGTTAGTTAAGACTTTGTCCCTTAGGGGAAATTCAATAAATTTGGAACAATTTGATGATTATACAAGTTAAAAATTTCAGTGATTTATTACTTTACCAACAACAAACTTTAACATATATATAATGTATTACTTTAATTTATAATTTAGGGTTCAATGAAAACAATGCATAAAATGTGTGAAAAAGTTTTTTCACAAGTTTTACACAAGTAAAAAAAAAAAAAAAATTATATTTAGTTTTAAATTTTATTTTCACACTGTTTAATTACAGGGCGAGGCAGTGGCACTGTAGGTAGTGCTGTTGCCTAACAGCAAGAAGGTCGCTGAGACGCTGGTTCGAATCTCGGCTCAGTTGGCGTTTCTGTGTGGAGTTTGCATGTCTCTCTCTGCCTCTGCTCTGGTTTCCCCCACAGACATGCGGTACAGGTGAATTGGGTAGGCTAAATTGTCCGTAGTGTATGAGTGTGTGCGTGTGAATGTGTGTGTGGATGTTTCCCAGAGAAGGCTTGCGGCTGGAAGGGCATCCGCTGCGTAAAAACTTGCTGGATAAGTTGGCAGTTCATTCCGCTGTGGCGACCCCTGATTAATAAAGGGACTAAACCGACAAGAAAATGAATGTATGAATAAATTAATGTTTAATTAAAGCACATATCAAATCATCATCATCATCATCATCAATAGCTCCCATTAAATATCTAGGTTATATTTTATATATTAAATTAATAATAATTAAAAGGCTTGTTTGCTGAGCATAAACATAAAGCATGATAATAAAAAAACTTTTGCCAGTTAAAACAAATGAAGTTATATATCCTTGTAAAACATAAAAGCATTTAGACAATGTAAAAAAATATATATACAAATGACAACTTTTGCTATTGTTTGTTGTTTTATTTTTAAAGAGTTGGCAAACCACTGCAGCTACTGTATGTCCTACAATTTTAAATAACTTTTTGTTCCACATTTTAGTGATGTCTCCGTATAGGGAACAGGTGAGCATCTTTCAGTTTTTTTTTTACTCTGCATTGATGTTTTGTGTTTCATAAAAAAATCTGCATTTATCTCTTATTACGTAATAGATTTACTTTTATCCTATTGAATAAGGGTCAACCCTGCTAAAAAATAAAGAAAACAAAACAAATTTGGGGCACATTCTATTAGGATTTTTCAACATGCCACCAAAAGCAGACAACAACTTACTAATTGAGTCAAACAATGTCTATTACATCTTCCATTTAAACCATTATACTTCTCATTATAACCATTACACATTTTATAAGAACTAATTTATAAGAAATTAAGAATCATATCTGCTTTTGTTCTGTTTCATTTCAGAAAGCGTTTCCTATATTCATAGGATACAAACTTTAAAATGCTGGATTGTATTTTTTCATTTTTATTTTATTTTCAATGAAATTTCAATTAAATTATTTGACCCCACTATTGTGTTTGCTGATGTTTAACCCATCGTAAGGTTAATACAATGCACCATTTTTATAATATATGTCACTCTGAGAAAACACATTATTCATTTATTCCTTTTCTTTTTGGCTTAGTCCCTTTATTAAACAGGGGTCGCCACAGTGGAATGAACCACCAACTTATCCAGCATATGTTTTATGCAGCGGATGCTCTTTTAGCTGCAACCCATCACTGGGAAACACCAAAACACTCTCATTCACACACATACGCTACGGACAATTTAGCATACCCAATTCACCTCTAGTGCACCAGATCACCTGGAAAAACCCACACGAACACAGGGAGAACATGCAAACTCCACACAGAAATGCCAACTGACCCCGCCGAGGCACAAACTAGTGACCTTCTTGCTATGAGGTGACAGAGCTACCCACTGCACCACACTGAAAACACACTATGATTTTTTTTTTATTATTATTTATATGATGCATCACAAAAAACTGCTTTTTATAACTATCATTACAAGTTTGGGTTCAATAAAATATTTGTATAGACATGCAAATAACAAAAGTAAAACACAAAGTATAACGCACACACAGGGGTATCATTCTTAATGATTTTAATGAACAGTCACATTTGGTATTTATGAACATGGCAACAAGAAAAACAGGATATTTACTGAACACATCTGTCAGTCTGAGGCACATTCACACAGCCAGAACTTGATTGGGACGCTTGACCTGTGCATGAGTCCATATAAGAAGAACTGAGGTTTTCTACACAGTAAGATAAGAGTAAGGCAATAAAAAAAGTCATGAATGAATGGCATAAATAAACTATTTTGTTTCATTTTTTGTATCCCATTTCTCACAAATGAAGTGCACAGAGACAAGACAGACTTCCTCTGGTAAAGATGAGAGTATTTCAAAACCTTTACCTAAGCAAACACACACTCACACATCATACACTAAACACTTCACACACTCACATACAAACAAAACATGCAGACAATCACACACATCCATATGTAATCTTAAAAAAACACTGGAGTTTATCTTTTTCTTCAACCGTTCAAAAGTTTGGAATTGGTAAGATTTTAAAAAATAAATAAAATAAGATGCATTGGTTTAAATTAATTGTGAAATTTAGGGACGCACCGATCAGAATTTTTGCAGCCGATACAGTGTACCGATTCCTTGTCATGATGATCGGCCAATATCGAGTACCGATTCTAATGCTTCAAGATTTATAATAAGCACATGATACTCGATGATCTCGCCTTACCTAGTAGAATAAATAAAAGTTTATAATCCCTTAACCATGCCTCCTAAAACCATTTAGGTGTGAACATGTCATGGCCAGAAGCAGCTTTACAGACAATAATGTTACACAGATTCAAATATTGGGAAGGAAAATTACAAACAATGCAATTTAGTAACATTATAAATGATGAAAGAAATATTTAACATGTCTCAATCAAGAAAAGCTTCAGTTTTTATATGTAAAAAGGCCCAAAAACATGCAGGACTGCAGGTTGGGCGCCCCTGCTGGCCTTACTAATACCACTTCCAGCAGAAACCTAGCTTTCCCATGTGGCTATGTATAATATACGAGAGCGCAAGTGCATCTTCCTCTGCTTGTAAACTCATAAACAAACACCTGCGATCGATTCATGAGATTGACCAAATTGGTGAGTACCGATCGAGTCATTAAATGCAATTATCGTCCGATACCGATCTCGATTGAGTCAGTAAATGTAACTATTGGCCGATACCGATCTCAATCGAGTCATTAAATGTGATTATCGGCCGATACTGATCTCAATCAAGTCATTAAATGTGATTATCGGCCGATACTGATCTCGATTGAGTCATTAAATGTAATTATTGGCTGATACCGATCTTAACAGTCATTAAATGTGATTATCGGCCGATATCGTTTTCAATCAAGTCATTAATTGTGATTATAGGCCGATACCGATCTTGATTGAGTCATTAATAGTGATTATCAGCTGATATCGTTCCCGATCAAGTCTTTAATTGTTATTATGAGCCGATACTAATCTCGATCAAGTCATTAATTGTGATTATCAGTCAATACCTAACTTGTTTGAGTCATTAATTGTGATTATGGGCCAATACCGATCTTGATCGAGTCATTAAATGTGATTATCAATACCGATGTTGGAGCATCCCTAGTGAAAATATTTATAATGGTAAAAATTATACTTTAAATTAATACTGGTACTGAAAAGGATCTTGAAACTAAATGCAGTGACTTGCACAAAAATGTTGTCATTTTCCATTTTAATAATATTAATAACTGTTTTATAAGCAACCTATTATAATGATTTCTGAAGGATCATGCTGGATTTGTTAAAAACATTTTAAAATAGAGAACAACAAATTGTTAATCAAAAAACAATAATTATTATAAAACTATTACCAACAACAAACTTTTGAACGATATTATATGAGTACATAAAGAACAGAACAGATTACAGTGGACAAAAAAGAAAGCAAAACATCCTAATAGTTTGTTTTGAGAGAAAGCTACATGTCGACCACAGGTTTTAGCATACTGTTAGTTTAAAAAAAGTCAATAAAACTGTGCATCATGTCTGCTCTTTGGAGCTTCAGGAACAAAGAACAAGTTCAAATACAGAACAGCACAAAATCGTAGGCATGCATCTGTAAAATTGAACTTTTTCACAACTAGAGAGCGCAAGACAAATTAGACCTTCAGGCCTTTGATAGGACAGTGCAAACCTCTCAAAAACCTGGACGTAACAGTGTCCAGCCATAGATATGTTTATGATAAATCAGTTCTACTTACAGCCCGACGGTCTGTCAGGAATCATCAAAAGTCATCAATACTGCAACACACACACAATCCCTAAAAACAAAAAAAGAACACTGAAACACAAAATAACAAGTAAGAAAGGTTAAAGGAGAACTGCGATCCCAGTAGAAAATTAAAAGACTGAGGGTAAAAGAGAAAGTTTAAAGGCTGAGGTGGCATGGAGGTGCTTAAAGGATTGTTTGGCCTCAAATTAGTAAAGCAGATGTTCTTCATCACATCCATCTGGATAATGTGATGATCGGCAGTATGCATGCAGTAGTGAAACGTGGGCATTTAAAGTGCCAGACGCTAAAGAGAGAATGAGTTACTGAAGAAAATTCTCATGTTTAAAGGCTGAGGTGGCATATTGACACTTAAAGGATCAGACTTCATGCAGGAGAAGAAACACAGGCGATCGTTGCAGAAATGTAGCACAAAGAATCCTTGTGTAAATCGTTGTGGATTTTAAAAAAGTCACGGTTTGTGGAGAAACAGAGCTGAGGGCTGAATATCAAGCACCAAAAATACATAAAAGAGTCACAGTGGGATTACTTTTCTTTCTTTTTTTTTTTTTTTTTTGGAAATATAGCTTTTACTTGTTTTGCTCAGTTTTCTTTTTTCTCTTGAGTTTTTCTTTCTTTTTTTTTGCTTTGAGTCTGTGTTTTTTGTCTTACTGTATTTTCTGCAAGATAAGTCACATTGTTGAAATTGCATAAGTTGAAGAAAGTTGCATTGGTGTATGAGTCACGTTAAAGACTTTCTTTCTGAAATTATGTAAACTAAGTACTTTCAGTACCCCAAATACAACAAAACATTTACAAACAATATAAATATGCATTTAGGTCCCTTCACTCCACAACAAATCCTTACAATTGAAGAGTACTCAGAACAGAAGTAATTTTAAACAAGCTAAAATTACAGAAGCATTCACTGTAAATGTCAACCCTAAGCTAATTTATATAACCAGCCACTATTAAGGGTGCGCAGACCCAGGAAAACTGGACCACCACACATTACAATCTCTTTGAAACAGAAGCAACAGCAAGGTTAATATGATTTTAAAAAGTGACTTATATTGCAGAAAATACAGTTTTATATGAAAGTTTGTTTCTGTAACATAAAAACTACAATTTAATTATTTAAAAAAAAATTTTGCTGTTATCTTTGCATTCCGAATTGCAACAAAATGTACCGAGTATTTTTATTGCAATCTTATGTTATAAACTTGCAATTAGAATAAAGAAAAATGTAAACATTTTTTTCCTCAGCATATGTGAATTTTGAGAAATAAAGATCTGAATTATGAAAATGTTTTTAAACTTAGATTTTTGCAAGAAATATGAACTTTGAACTGTGAGATAAATGTAAAATTGCAAAAATGTAAAACTGAATTTACTTTTTTCCCCAAATTCAATTTTATATTTCACAATTATTGCTTGTTTCGCAAATTCAGTCTTCATATCTTGCAATTATTAGCTGTCTGAATTGTGAGAAAAACTCATAACTCACTTAAAATCATGAGGAAAAAAGAACAAAAGTGCAATTACATTTTTTTAAATAAATAAATAATTCAGCAGAAACAGGCTTTCATAGATTTTGTCTCTTTCATATTAACTTTTTTAAATGATCATTTATTAACTTTTTTTGTCAAATGCTCGATTTAGTCAACCTTAAAAAAAATCTAGCATTAGCAAGGGAATTGAGTGCCATGTGGTGATATCCAGAGGGGGCTGTTTGTCATGGTAATCATCGTGATTATGTGCCATTCTAAGCTTGTTTGTTTAGTTGTTGATGACGTCTTGAGTACGGTTTGATGTTATATTCACAAATGGTTCTGTATTTGTGAGTTTGCTCTCAAACTAGCGGCCGACGCTGATGTTGCAGGTCTTGCAGCTGGGGTCTTTCTTAGCATTGATGGTGGACAAGCTCATGAGCTGGTGTCCGCTAATCTGAGAGACCGTTCCCAGAGCTAGCGGCAGCGGCTCTGTGTAAATCAGCTCCAGAATCACATCCTGCGCATGCTGAAAGACCACGTGCCCGTCCTCTCCGCACAGTCGCATCAGAAAGCGGTTGTTGGTCACGTCCAGCTCTGGAAGGCGCTCGCTGCAGTAAAGGTCTCCTTTGGAGCCCCGCGGCGCCAGGACCAGGATGACGTAATGATAGGCGGTGTACATGCAGTAGAAGTCCCCAAAGTAAAGGCGTGTGTCTGGGGTGAAGAGAACCTCAGCGGGCACCTGGAAGCGGAAGCGGCCGTATGGAGAGTCCTGCGGTGGCTGACCGGTGTTGAACTCTGTGTTACAGCTGAAGAAGATGCCCTCTAGTTTACCACTGATTGGTGACCCGTGACTGCCGCTATTATCCTTCACTGAGGGCATCATTCTGCCACCAAGAACATCTCTGTGGGGTAAACAGAGACGCATTATACAATTATTGACCCTTTTCACATTTCTTAGTAGTGGAAGTCATCATAGTTGGGTACATTTGGGTGAACTCCACGATGGTGTTATCAAGACTTTTAAAAAAAGGAAAAAAATAGTGCGAGACGGATGACGGCAGCCAGAAGAGAGAACAACATCAAATTTACTGTCCTGCCTATACATTCTGCATTTTGAACGCCTCACACAAGCAGTGATTCACTTTTTGTAATTTGACGCTAAGATGATATAATACACACTGTACATATATACAGTTCTCAGCATTGAGTAGACCCCCTTTTGAAAATGAACATTTTAATCCATTTCTCAGTAAACATAGGTAATGTATTTTGGTGAATTTAAACAAAACAAATTTAATAAACAGAAATATTTATTAAAATAATATTATAGTCACCAAACATATTTAGAAGATAAAAGATAACACAAAGATAATTAAATTCAAGCAAAATGTTGCAACAAAATTACAACCTACAAAATTTCAATTTTTCAATTTTTTTTATATATATTTTTTTGCTATTTTTGATATTGGAATGTTATCGTAAGTTATTTTGTTAGCTAAGCTCTAGATTTGGCTTTAGTACTGACTAATCTAATGTTTATGCACAAATATAATATTGCAAATTTTCCTATTAAAAATATGAACTTAAAAGATAGATTTTTGAGGGGTGTACTCTTTTATGGTGAGCACTTTACATATAAATGTTCATCTAAATATTAAAAACTTTTATGGATTTAATATGCTGATGACCATTAAATGCATCATAACAGGCTTGAAAAGGGCCCATTATACAATAAGTATACAAGTAAGACTAGTAATACTAGTAAATACATAACTAAATACAACTCAAGATAATGTATTTAGTATAAAAATAAAAATGTCTTTATTTATTAACTGAGATAGCTTACATTTATTTATATATGTAAATATCATTTATGATATAGGCATATTATTTATATAGAATCTTTTTTGTATTGTTCTGTTTTTATATTAATGCTTTGTATATAATATTAATTTGCATATATGCAAATAAGAAAAATCAATAAAAAGTTTAAATCATAAAACTAAAAATATCATTTTAAATAAAGTTCAAAAGCATTTGCTATTATTATCACAGCTTTTGTACAAACTGTGTTCTTCTATTTAGGATTTTTTAATGGAAGCTTAAACATTAAAAACTTCTGCAGTTATTGGAAATAGAATTAGGGTCCTATAAAAGTTTATTTTTTTATAATTACCTTTTTTATTATTACCTTTTTTATTTTCTGGATTTTGTTTATTAGCTAAATTAAAGTTTTGTAAAGTAAAACCCCAATTAATTTTAATCATACATTTTATTTAATGCACTAACAACTCATTAGGAATTAAAATAATTTTGGGGGAATCCTATCAAGTTTTTTTTTTTTAATCAAACTGTCATATACCATCTGTATTTTGTGAATCCCAGCACAAGTGCCCTACAATTTTTTTAAATATTAATAATGTTGTTTCTGTATTTTTTTTGGTGAGCAGTCATGTAGCAGTATTTATAGACAAACCCTAAAGATTTCAGACTGATTACAAACAGACAGATCAATTTAATACATCATTGCCAAATAAAAGGATATATTTTTTATTTAAAAAAAAAATCATACTGACCCCAAACATTTTAACAGCAGTGAATTTAGTCATGAACGTAGTTTATAAAAACCAAAACGAATCCTTGTGAATTAATGAGGACATTATTCCACTAGAGGGAGCTGTGTACTTTCTAACGCTGAGCTAAATCTCTAGAGAAATTATTCAAGGTATTCATTATCATCCTCAACCAGCTCCACTCTGTCCTTTTCCACTCCCTCTGTCACATCCTAAGCATATCTTACTGAGGTAATGTTTCTTAAATCACCTGCAGTGTTGGAAGTATTCCTCGTGCTGATTCCTGTAAAAGACGGAGAACTTGAGCATCCTGCCAGCAATGACTTCAGCCTTCTGCAACAGCTGAGTCAAATGCACAGGGGAATAATCTGGAAAAATGAAGAGAGAGATCTTTATTTGTCATCAGTTATCATAGATTTTTTTTTACATTTGATTAATGTTAACTGCCTAAAAATATTTAGTAATTAAATATAATTACTTTTTGTGATAATTTTATTCATTTTTTATATTCATAAAGTATTTTACATATTTCTATTCATTTAAACTTTATTTTGGACCATTTAAAGCACTCTGAATTATCACTGTGCTTTAAATATGCTATATTAATAAAGTAGCCTTGTGTCACATTCATACTATTTCATAAATGTGTATTTGTAGGTGATTAACCTGCTGTACAAAACTCAACAATGTCACTCCATTCTGATACAGCATAGTCTCCGTCTGTCTGTTTGGACGCTGTTTGCACGGCAACTGTGTATTCGGTCCGTGGACTCAGGAACCAATGGCCTCTCACTGTCATGGGCAACGGAACCGCCTTAGCAACAAGCTTTGTAGGCACATCCTAAAGACGAAGAGCAAGAAACATTAAAAATGCAATACAATTTTAGGTTAATTGATAGTGTGTTGGTTAAAACACACAAGACACTTGATTATTATTATTATTATGAGCTATTTCAAACATTATAAGACCAGATATTGCACAGGAAGTGTGTCATGAAATATTCTTTTAAAAATGAAAGCCTGAATAACACATCAGTGAGCACCTTGTGTTTGAACTTGTTGGAGTTCTTGTTCTCCTTCTTGTTCAGGTCAATGAAGTAATGTGTGATCTTCTCTGTGCTGTGTGGATCCACATCCCAGCAGATTTTAAAGGAGTCGCAGGTGATGTTACTGATTTTGATGTTGCGAGCCACCGGTAACTCCATTTCTACCACTCCAGTGTCTTCAGCTTTACCTGAGGGAAAGATTGAAAGAATGGATGGTGACCGCAATCTATTTGTGCTGTTTAAAATCTTTACGTTTGAGTGTTTGTCTAAAAATACTGCTACACATGACTGCCCACAATCAGACGCATGCTGAGAAATATGCACTGGCATGGCTATAGTGTGGGCACTGTGTTATCATAGAGTTCACAAATGCACAACAGGAATGTGGGAATCTAGGATCACACACACATACACTCTCTCTATACAAAGCACAGCGAAGCGCTTCCCATGAAAAGATAGAAGTTTAGAAGTTTTCTGTGTAATAAGCACCTTCAGCTTGATGTTCACTGAACACTTTTTCCTAAACTAATTTCTTTACTACTACTGGCATGTTCATCTGGAAAGAAAGGACTTTAGTATTAACTTACTTAAAAATGTGTATGCCAGAATATAGTAATAACTGTAGTTACAGTCAGAGTGTGAATTACAGGGGGGTTTGGGTGGGACTGACCACCCCTAATTAACGCTTGATTACCACTGAAGGACATCAAAACATGTAAAGGGGGGTCAGCTCTTTAATACTGAGAAATAATTTGCTCTGCTTTGTATGTTAATAATTAAAATAAATATAAAAAATTTAATTATTAATATAAATATACATTTGACCACCCCTATAATGGTTCATTCCACTGTGAATGCGTAATCACGCCAATTAGTCTGCCAGAAAAAAACTTATTAAACAGTCTAAAATGGGTAGATCTAGAGCACCGATAGACAACTTAACTATTCACAAGACTGCATTCTCCTGCAATAGCTGTTTGTTTCTACAAATAGCCTAAAAGTAAAGCCAAAATAGATGCATAGTCTGACTTACAATAATCTCAGAAGCAGCTAATCGAATACTAAAAGTCATAATACCATAATATTCCACAAAACACTGAAAAAGTCCACTCATTTTATTAATAAATTAGGTGTAATTTAACCTAATACAAAAACTAACATTACCGAAAAAGTTGATCCCCCAAAGTTGATCATCAATGTATTATTCGCACACTGATTACAGTAACTTTCAAAAGTTTGGAAATATGAAAAGCGGATCAGTGACTGTAAAGACTTTAATCATTTTTTCAAACATATTTATTTTTAATACACACTGTTCCTTTAAACTTTCTATTCATTAAAGAATGCTGGGAAAAAAATGCATCACTGTTGCCATAAAAATATTAAGGTGATTATTCATTTCAGCAATGACAACGAAAAGCATACAGTGCCCAGCATAATTGAGTATTTTTATCCATTTCTCAGTGAATATAGTCAATGTATTTTGGTGCATTTAAACAAAACAGATTTATTAAACAGATATATTTATTGAAATAGTCACCGAGCATCTTAAGAAATTAAAAGATAATACAATTAAATTCAAGTTAAATATTGCAATAAAAATTAGAACCTACAAATTTTCAACAAAATTTTTCCATTTTTTTGCTTCTCTTGCTTTTTCCTCTTTTTAAAATTTGTATTCAATATTTTTCTATAACACAAATTTGGATGTACTAGTTTTGGACCATTATCGTAAGTTATTTTGTTAGATAAGCTCCCGATTTGGCTTCAGTACTGACTATCTAATGTATATGCACAAATATAATATTGTATAGCTTCCTATAAAAAAATAATCTGAATTTAAAAGATAGATTTGTAAGGGGTGTACTTCAGTGGTGTAGTCCTTGCTATACGCACGTATTCTGAGTATGCTTACTTTTTTCCATGAGCTGTTTGGGTATTACCACTTCTGAGGATCAATAATTGAGTATACCCTCAGTATACTCACCTGTTTTTCCGATTAAACGTCCCTAATTTACATGTATTAGCGTCCCCTTTAACTGTATACCAAACAGGTTTTTTTTTTAACTCACAACTTAATTTGTTAAGATGTGCCTATTTCTTACATAAATATTATATGACGCGTTTTTCTTTGTTTACCCCAAAAGGATCTGATCCTGATCCACCCTAAAATTAAAATCCTAAAATCGCCCCTGTAAAACAGTATTTCACATTTGTCTTAATTGTGCCGCTAGTGAACAACACTATACCGTATATAACACTAAAAACAATTAGGCAAACACTACTCATAAATCGCGTAACAATGTGCGATTTAAAAGGGTAACTACTAGTATATAATAGCGACAACAGAAGACAGACTCCTAATAGTTTGGTTTAAAACAAGCATGCATGAATGTGACAATTAAAAATAATTGCTGATTGATGTTTAAAGGAACCTATAAAATGTAAAGTAATAAGCCAGTAAAGAAAGTAAGCTAAAAAGCTGTCTTACCATGTATGCACAGGCCTCTTGAGTTAACTTAAATACAGGTAACTGATTTAAAAAAAAAAAAAAAATATATATATATATATATATATATATATATATATATATATATATATATATATATATATATATATATATATATATATATATATATATATATAAAATCTCCAATGAATCGAAGAAACAATGACTTTCGTCGTTTCTTTGCCTACTTTCATTTAAAATTTGTGTCGGGTGTAATAGTACCTTTAGTACACCTTTTTTTCTAGGACTACACCACTGGTGTTCTTATATATGCCCAGCACTATAAATAATATGAGATAGATATGTGTTTTCCATTACAGGGTTAACTGACATTTTACAAAGAATTCAAATTTTTAATTGTAATCATTTTGATCAGTTTTGCAGGATCTATTGTATTTATGATCAAATAGTCTTAGTGAGCAAAAATGGGTAACACTTTAGTTTTGGCCATAATTCATGCTATTATTTACTATCTTACAACCTGGCTATTATTAGGATATTAAGTGTTATTTAGTAGATATAAAGTATGATTTTATTTTACATCCCTAATCCTACCATAAACCCAACTTCTATCTTATTAACAATTTTTAACCAGTAATTAGTATTTTATTGTGCTAGTATGTTAGGTAATGGTTTGTTAATAGCGTGAGTTGTGACCTAAACTAAATGGTCACCCAAAAATGTCTTCTTTTAAAAAGATAAACTCCTTAAAATAAATTTACTTGAATGTTTAAACATTAGTGTTTATTTTGTGCAGCCCGGTTTATTTTGACTACAAACACATTTCTGTTTCATTTACCAAAGCAGAATTTATTTATTATAATAAGAGGTAAACAATGAAAAAATTGTGAGAAATAAACTCACATTCTGAAATGTAAGTAATGAGTATTGGCTAATAAAACTGTAGCACTTTACAGTCCTGTGTTACATGTACTTATTAAAGTATTACATAAACAAGGTAAAAACTAGGTAGTAGAACCTTTAACCTTATAGTGAAGGGGTCTGTCAGAACGACAAATAAACAGACAGAACAGAGATAAAATACTTGTACTCACAACATTCATCTCCGCTATAGATTTGTTCTTGCTCTATACTAGTCCTCCCAAAACACTAACAGTGCCAGATCTAGCCGTATAACCCCGCCTCTGCCAACTGACTCTGGTACACAAACAACAGATGTATGTTTATCAGCTTCTGCTGTTCTCTGACATCTTCTCACCACTGAATCTGCTTCCCTTCATGCTTTAAGAAACAGGTCGGACATTGTATACATTCAACATAAACGCACCACTGTATCATCAGCTGATGTTCATCTAATCGCACAGAACGCCATGAAAAACATGTTTATATAAGAAAGATTACCCCAAAAAGCAACTAGGAAAGCATGAGTGTGCACCTCTTCGCTAAAGTGGAGCTTCAGAACAAACCCACAGGTCTTTCAGCTGGCTTTTACAAAGACTGCAGTTTCCATAGAAACAAATCAAGGCCATTAATCAATGTAGTATAGTTTAAAGAGAAACCTTTATGCACAATGATCAGCAGTTTAGTCGTGTTCATAAAGAAAAGTCAGATAAGGATTAGAGACAAGTCTTCAACACAGATCTGATGGAGGAGGAAATATTTTCATAATCTTCAGCTGTTGTAAAATATTTGTAAGACATTTATAATGGTACAAAAGATTCATTTGTAAACACTTTAAACAGCACAGACATTTTCAACTGTGACAAAAACCAATCGAAGCATTTCTTGTACACAAAATGAACATATTATAAAGATTCTGTAAGGGATGACATTTTAAATAAATTAAACAGAAAGCAGTTCTTTAATATTGTAATTAGGGTATTCGTGATATCATTAATTCATGTCATGATACTATACCAGCTGAAATATCATGATACCAAGTAGTATTACGATTCTGTAATTCATAACTCAAATTCATGAAATAAAGAAAAAATGTCAGCAATACTTAATTTTATTTGTTATAATAGGTCTACTTGAACTGAATTAATAGTTCCCTTATAATTCAAAAAGGTATTTTCCCCTAAAATGTATTCGAACAAAAAAAAATGCATTAAAATAAAGATACAAATTATAACAAATGAAATTTGTTACAAAAAAAGCATTTTTCCAACAAATTTGCGCTATATGAAATAGTCAAAAATTGTTTGTTTCCTGTTGCTCTTTTTCATCTATTGTTTTTTTTTTTTTTTGTCTTATCAGGTAAGAATCCAAAGTATTTCAAAATTTCACTTTGTGAGCTGTTATTTAAGAGATTGTTACGGTTGTTGTAGCTATTAAATCATATTAACAGGAGCAGAAATGAACAGATTCAGGTTTGAACTGAAGCCTCAGAAAACGTGCAATAAGCTAACATAAAAGACGAGAATTCTACAGTTTTGCAACTTTAGAAGGCTCCATGGGCTATTAAAATAAAATGGTCTATAGTTGCACAAGTGTGAGAGCATTTTAGTGATTCTTCCACAGGCAACATTATGTATTGTAGACGGACCGTTACTGACGATACTACCGTTTACAAACTACAGTTGCACCTCCAGTATTTTGGAGCCATAGTATCACAATACTACCATAGTACCGGTAATATGTGCAAACCTTATTGTAATCATTTATGTTAGACATGCCAGTTTTCAATAATAAAATATATTTGGGTAATGAATATAC